TATACGAGTATTTTCCTGCGTTTCGACCACAGCGCGACCCGGTTCCTATTGGGGATGGGCAGCCATGTGCCTATGCGTGGAGTCCACGTTTCGAGAAAAAGTCCATTGACCGCCTGCGATCGATACGGTTATTGCTTGACAGGATGTCCCCATTAGAGGTAAAGTGTTTAAATTATTTCTACTTTTATAGTTTGATGCGTTTATTATATGAATATTACTAATTATAAAAAATGTGCAGGTGAACTGGATGTCTTTCGGCCAGAACCCTAGTAATAGGGTACCCAGGACCCTCTACACGGGACTGATTTAGTATCGTGAGATCGTAGAGGCGTACATGCCGCAGTGCTGTCTTCGCCAGCTTGGATTTGTCCAAGTTGTTCCTCCTCCACCAGCATGGCCCAGTGGCGGTCCAATCTGCGTCGTCGAAGGAGTATGTCATCCAATGGCCAGCAAGCATGATTGCCACGTGGGAGCAGGTTCCGATGGTTTCCCGCCTATGGACGACAGAGCTGTAGCGGCCGCCAACTGGGGTGACTGCCATGTGTGACCAGCACTACATGGAATGGTACAACCGGTATTCGCACCCGAGGTTGTTCAGAGACCTCCACCACGGCGATGACGCCGATGATGATGATGTGCCACCGCCCACTGCTGTGGATGCGGTATGTCTCATAAAACATTTGTTGTTATGTTTTTTTGTTTATATAATACGTCGTTATATAATTTCATGTGTTTTGTTGTGTGTAGTGGATGGGAAAGATGATGCAAGTGGGACACAGAATTTTTGAGGCGAGGGACAGTATGACGAGTGCATCAAGCAAAGCGGCTATTGATGATCTGGAACGGGCCCTTGAGCAGTGGCAGTGGGCGTCACAGAGGGATTACTGATCTGTGGACATTTTATTTATAGAACATTTTGTACATTATCATAGTTGTTTGTAAAAGTTGACATTATCTTTTTAGTTTGTAACATTTGAAATTATTATTTTAAATTTTTAAAATTTGACATTATCTTTTTAGTTTGTAACGCGCAAGATCTAATTAGTGTGCATGCAAGATATAAATTTAGTCAAAATGGTAATACGAAAAAATAAATAAATGGAAAAAAATAGCAATAAACATACAAGGTTACATAGAAAAGGTAGGTATATGCGTGAAAAACTAAATGGCAACTAGGTTGTTCCACTGCCGCATCCGATCATGATACAGCGCATCCCAACCCTCTATGCTTGTTCTACGAATGGTGTACCACCGAGGTATGATCGGTGGGACCGGAAAATCAGATGGCAGGTCCAATCGGATGAAATGTCTGTATGACGGCCCCAGAAATGCAATAGCAACCTCTCTTACCGGTCTTGTGACAGTCTCACGCGAACACCAAGGGAGAACCGTGGTATATGGATAATAAGCTCGACTATGCAAACCAAGGCCAAAATGCATGACTCTGCACTTGTAGATGTTTGCAACGGCAAAGAGATCAAGTGGCGCATCGAACCAATGATTTTGACCGCAAGGTCCTCCTCCCCACCGGATACGCTGCAGAGACATATCCAAGTCCTGGCCGTACACATGGCGATAAACAACTCGGTTTGAGGCGATTTCACTGTACATCAATTGACGCACTAAACCGTAGTTGTCTTCACCCATCTGAACACATCAGCCACAACCCGGAATCCGCAGTTACCATCTGCAACCACATCATTCCACCCGTCCAAGAATGGCATCATGATGTTAGGGATCTTGTCCTTATATGGAAAATGTTCAATGTCCATTCTTCCTGTTGCACATATCAATAAACACAATTAACAAGTCAGCAGTAAACTAAACAAACATTCTAAAAAGTAAATTAAAGTAAAATATCGTACCTGGCCAGGCATATTCACCGACGAAGAAGATTGGCTACTACTTGATGACGATATACGACCACGGCCACGACCACGAATGTACTCAAACGCACTCCTGTTCTACCGTGGTTGTCGACCCCTAGGTCGCTCGACCCTTTCAGGTTCTTCGTGATCCAAGCACGACGTGTTGAACATGTCATGAAGTACGTGGGTAGCACTACGAATGATTGAAGGGTGACTGGAGGACACTTGGTCAAACATCAAACGAAATTGCTCCAACTCCTCCTGTTCACGGTGGACCGTCTATGGAACAGCATGCTCTCCAATAACGAGCGTCCGCCAGAATGGATGAACCTGATCAACATGTAACGACGCCCTATCTTGCGTAATTACGCGGTGAATGGTGCATGCACAAGGTAGTCCATGAGTCACTGATATAGCACATCCGCACCGAATAGCCACTTCATCACCCAAATCCCTCATCCTGTTGTGCTCGCTCAGAATCAACCCTAAGCAGTAGTGTGACACACGACCATGGAGAATCTTAAATATGAAATGGCCATACATCATGTCATGTCGTCGTCAAGAGAGTTCTTGATTCCATTCTTTTGAGTATCAATAGCACTGTGTATTCTCTCGAACAATGCATCAAGAGCAGAGGTGGAAGAATCAATACAGTCCTTCAAAGCTCTATGAGCGCTCTCAACTCTACATGTTGTAGTGTTTCCAAAATGAAGAACTTGGCTTGTCCAATATTTGACAAACTTTTCCCTCTGAGGTATCCACTGCTGCGTCACATAGTCTATCATTTCCGGGCACCATTGGTACGCATCCTTGAAGTTATCCAAGGCTTGATCGTACTCTGCCTCTGTGGTAGCTTGCAAGATCTTCCGCCACTTACCATTTACCAATCTCTCTGCTGAATCTAAATTCTTGTTGAAAAGGTTGTAGGCTTTGACTTTCACACAATTGTTGATGTGCCATGTGCACAGTAAATGGCTCGACTCCGGAAACAGCTCCGCTATAGGGGCAAAGAGATCTCCCTCACAATCACTGACGATGGGCGATGGCTGAACATTAGGGTCGATGTAATTTCTCAACTTCTCCAACACCCAATGGTAACTCGCAGCCGTCTCATCCTTCATGACTGCATAACCAATTAGAAAGTTCTGGTTCGTTGGAGTCATCCCAAACATCTCAACCAGTGGGAACTTGTACTTGTTTGTCTTGTATGTTGAATCGATCAAAATCACAGATGGCCAAGACGAAATCATATCAGCACAATCAGGATGCACAAGGAATAAATGAGTCACCTCCGATGTGTCTTCATCAGATTCAAACCAGTACAGGTAACCACGTGCTTGTGCCTGGTGTAGAAGCTGTTGTATAGGGTTCCTTCCCTCTGACCGTTCAAACCTCAATTTCTGTCTGACGTTGTAGATGTGTCTTCGATTTGACTGGTCTTCAGGAAAGTTCTCTAACACAGATGCTAATATTTTAGCAGGCTTCACTTGAGCATCACTCATTTCATTTACAACTAGTTTCGCAGCAGGACTTAGGCCGCTTAACTGTCGATGACCCACTTCATATACTATCATCTCATGGTTGTGATACCCCCATTTACCGTAAGCCTTCACTTCCCAACCGTCACGCCTTTGCTGTTGTCGAACCTTTACTCTGAACTGACACCCACAACCTTTCCGCTTTGTATCAAACCGAATCGCTTGACTGAAATCTCGTTCCTCCCTTTTGCAATAACGGTCGCATCTCAAAATGCGATCCATTCTACCATCCCGTTGAGATTTATGACTTGCTACTACTGAACAAAAACCTGATCTAATTGCAACCTGTTTTGCCCAATCAATCGCTTGTTGAGCATCTTCGAACAGACCATCATGTACAAAATCCCATCATGTACAAAATCCAACTATAATCATTTCCGTCTCCACCATAATCCTACAACAATGACATATAAATATAATTACATAAAGATTAAATTAATACATTTGACACAAAATTAACACAGAAGTGATTTCAAAATTTTTAAATTTCTAAATTTCATTTCTATATTTAACGCATAATACATTTAATATCTAAATTTACCCATAATTAACACAAAATTAACACGTAATTATATATAAAAGTATTCACACATAAAAATTAAAACATAAATTTTTTTATTTTTTGAAATTATTATCACATATTAAAACATAATTTCAAAATAAACCATAATTTTGTTTTTTTTTTTATAAATTATTCACACATATTTCAAACATAATTTCAATTTAAATTTTGTTTTTTTTAAAAAAAAAAATTATTAACACATATTTAATTTCAAATTTATCAAAATTAAAAAATAAAAAAAATAAAAAAAAAAAAAAAACAAAACTTTAAACAAAATAAAAAAAAAACAAAAAAAAAAAAAGAATTCGTGGTGGTGGCGCCTGGCCAGGCGCCTCTACCACGGTGGCGGCGTCCCGGCCAAGCGCCACCTCCATGGTGGCGACGTCCCGGCCAGGCGCCACCTCCACGGCGGCGGTGTCCCGGCAAGACATCTGCCATCAATTCGTATTTTAACACGGCTAAGTACCTCGTCTTCCGGCGACGATGACGGCTCTTCGGTGTCTCGCGGCGATCCAGTGCTACTCCACATTTTTAGTGAGAGAAAATTTCGTTTCCGGTAAAAATTAAGAAAAGGGCAAGATTGTCAAAGTTTTACAAAATGTGGGCTTTAAGTAGAAAAATATGGGCGATATTTAACAACTCCCCCCATCTAACCCTATCCTAGCCCACCCAGCTCATATGGTGGCCACCTCTACCCAAGATCAAATGTTGTTATTAACTTTTTTTGGTCCTCAAATGACCCGATCCAAACCCGACTAAAGTGATACAAATATTAAAAAAAAGTTATTAAGTACCGACTAGGCCCAAGGCCCACTACTTTTGTTTTTATTCCATTTTAATCCCACTGGCCATACAATAACTCTCATTAAAAAAAGCAATGACTAGCAAATATAGAGCTTTTATTTAAAGGCAAAGGAAACTTTACAGTGTAGTCATAAATCATAATAACTGATTATGGTAATTTTTTTTTTTTTTTTTTTTTTTTGGAAAAAGACTGATTATGGTATTAAAGTAAGACTGTAAGACAATATGGAAAATAGAACTATGAAGAACTGCATATGGTATTAAACGCCAGTAGCGACAGTACTTTGTACAGCAGCCAAGGTGTGGTGAATGCATGATTGCTTCAAGATATATACCCCAACACAAGTAAAAGCATAAACAAGCGAGACCTTAATATTAACTACATAGCCTCACAGGTTTACTCTGAGAATCGACAGGAGTCAGTCGGAATACAGTAACTACTGACCAATGCACCAAGATATAGGATGGATTACTGCAGTTATTCAATAAAGAAATTTTCCTGAAGACCTACTATTACATATAAGGAGACCGCCTGAGTGGATTCTCTCCCGCTGTATCCATCTTTCCGAAAGGAAACCCTCATTGCTTGTAAGCTTTAGATAATCATCTATATCCACCAGCGATTTTCTGGGCACTCGAGATAAAAGTTGGCTTTTGTAGCTCTCAACCTCTCCAGATTTGCTATTTTTTCCTACATCCAAAGAGAAGCTATTGGCAACTCCAGGACTCCAACTCCCACGGCTACTTTTGGAACTTGAACTTTGATCTTGCTCATTCCCAGCAGTCATCTGCCAATCCAATGTAGAGTATTAAAAAATGTTGTTATAGGCAACTTCAATAGTGAGACTTATATTGGATCCCAACATAGTTTTCTACATGCCACTTTACAATCTCACATGATCACTAATTGTTGAACTCCATTTTCCAAAAACAAGACTCTTATGACCCACAATCTTTTTTACGTTTACTTCAGTGTTGAAAAAAAAGTGTGAACATTATCATGACTTGAAACAACCATTTAATGGAAATGGTTTTACTCAGAAGCCTGAGAGTCTAGAATCCACCAGTGACGAGCCACAAACCAAGAAATTTCAAGACCCTCTTGAGATCTCCATTGGAGATAACCAATTGGCAACAAGGTTATTTGTTTAAAAAAAATTCTATGAAAGCAATCCCCAATTGCTAGGAAAGAAAGGAAAATCTCCACTAAACCTTTGCCATTTTGGTTTTACCACAGAAAACAGAGATGAAAAAATTGACTGTCAGCAATAATCAACAGCAGTTTTTTCTCATCTTTAAAATTGTTAATTTAGTATAGCAACAAAGTTTTTAGCCAAATAGCCACATTGGTTTGGATGGAAAATTATACTCTCTAGTCTCTCAATCTCACCACAACTGTCCTAGAAGACCGAACATCCATTCAAATACAATGAAATGACCAAACTATTACCTGTATCTAAACAACCATTGGAGTTTAGCACTATTACATGATTAAAGCTAACAGTTACAGAGTGGAATGTTGGAAATTTTTTGTAACACCCAACCAAATTGAAAGTAGTATGGTAAAGGGTATAAAGAAGGAAGTAATTTACTTGTCGCACTAGTAATTTACCTTTTAATCTTTTGAGATAAACCGTCTACTATTACATTAATTCAGTCAATTAAGCTTTGCCTTCTATAGTTCTGTTAACTATGACCACTTCAATGCTTGAACAAACCTCTTTTATCCAACAATAGAAGAGTAAATGCTATAGGAGAGTAAGGAGACCATACGTGTGTTTTTATTTTATTTTTTTACTATGTATGGTCTCCTTACTCTCTCCTATAGCATTAGCTCTTCTATGACCAGGTTTTGCTTCACATTGACTAAGATACTTCAATCTTGAACAAACTTCCAAAAGCACCCACCCTACCAAATATAAAGAAATTTAAAAAATAACAATAAATAAATAAATTGACAATTTGTGTGGGCTGATCAGTTGTTCTCTTCCTATCTAAGTTTTCCTTGAATACTACGGCAGTTGTGGACTTAAGGTTCTTGATAGACAACATGCATAATAAAAATAAAAAAGCACACTTAAGGTGGTCATATGCTTTTTGTGGCCTAGAAGAAGCGAATTTGATGAAGAATTACTCATCTGTAAGGTAAGCATCAGTACTCAATTTTCCTGCATTATAACCCTATCACCTCATCTACTACTTGTTCCCCACCAAACTAAGTCTCATAAGTGCCATATTATTAACTATAAGGCTGCTGGATATTATCAAAAGAAAAACGTCAATACCAAAGGGTATGGTTACCAAGGCAAATGCAATGGTGCCATGCTTATGGCCATTATCTCTATATTATCACGAAAAAATTCTGCAAACCCATCCTACCCTCCCACCACCATCCAACCCACAACAATTACCCAAAGCAAACATGGCCATGGTAACCCACCTCACCTCAGCCCCCTATTAGTTGTTAGATATTAGAGCTTCTCACCATGTCCCTTATGGTCTAACTAGCTAGGGGCCCTTCTTTTATTTTAGCCTTGTCTATTGTCAAAGCTCTGGCAATTAATTGGCATCATAGATTCATAAACTTGGCCATCCATCTTTAGCTATTTTCAAATTATTATGTTCATGATTTAAACGTTTAAATTTTTAATTGTGAATTTTGTCAATGTAATAAGAGTCATAAGCTCCCTTTTGTCGATCAATTTTAGTTTCTCATTTCTCTTGAGCTTGTTTACATTGATTTATGGACATCTCCAAATTATTTTATAATTGGATTCAGATATCATGACATTATAGTTGATCATTTCGTGAATTACATATGGATTTTTCCACTCAATAATTTTAACACAAAATCAGTGTTCATTAGGTTCAAAGCATTAGTTCAGAATTTTTTTTTTTTTTGAAAGGCAACTAAATATGTCTTATTCTAATAATGGTGGAGAAACCAACAAATAGGAATTTAGGCAATATTCTATTGTATCATGTGGTTCATTAAATTTAAACATATTGATAGCAATTAGAAATCATTTTGACAAAATGTCTCAGATCTTGATTATAATTTTAAGTAAAAGCAAAGTCAAACTGTTACTCTTTATATTGAACATACCCTGAAAATCCTCGATATGTCAAGGTGGGGGGGGGGGGGGGGGGTGTTAACCGGTAACAACTTCTCTTGTCGAAGTAACACAGATCAATGCTTTGAATCAAGATAAAATGTGAAAGCTTTTCATTTGGTACATAGTTGTTACACTTGGTGACATGAAATAGTAAAGCAAGTGATACAATTTTTTCTATAGCTTTTATAAGGCGTTCCACACCAAATCATAATAGAAATCGCTGTTGGTAACTTTGCAATCATGCGGAGCATCATTTGCAGATTATCCCATTATTATTGACCAATTATAATTAATCAATTATGGAAAATTGGAAGTAAGCAACTTTGACAAGATAATATGTCAACGATACCACAAACAAGATAGACAGTAATGCATGAACGTAGCAAAATATAAGGTGCAAATATCAAACAGTACATTACCTCCTGTGAACCCTGTAGAACAGTTGTTGGAGTTTTAGGATGTTGCTTATTATCACTGCCCAGAAGAGTAGTACCATCATCACCAGTCTCCCACTTCAACCAAGGAAGAACAACCCCATCCATTTCACCAGGAAGCAAATCAGATCTCATTGGACTTTTAAAAGGCTTTACTGCACCTCCAAAAACAGAACTGGTATCACTCCTTTCACCATCAAATGATGAGATATCAGTTTCTTCAACACTGGAAATAAATTCGTCAATAATTTTATCAGCCTCTTCTACCAATTGCTTAGGCATTCTGGTTGTGTCAGTACTTCTCTGAAATTCACAAATGGAGCGTTTCAGAAACTGTCTACATAAAAGACAAGCAAAAGAATTTTTTCTTGAATGAGATGTGCACTTCCTGTGCATCTAAAGCAGTGAGGAACCCTGGTTAAAATAATATGTACCTTTCTTCCTCTGGCAGCTCTTTTAACAGGAGTGCTCTTTGGATGAGGAAGCAGTTCTCCAACAATTTTTTTTAGCTCTTTACCGCGCTCCTCCTCCAACATTATTTCAGCAAGGAGTTCTTGTTTACGCTTTTCAGACTGACAAGCAGAGGATTAGCACACGGTATTATGGTTACTTGACTTTCAGATCAAAAACAGTTGATAAGCACTCAGCAGTTGAGATGAACCTTACCAAGTTACCATCAAATGATTTCTGACTATAACGAATAATCAACACGTGCATAACTTCAAACTAAATAATTAAGCAATTAGGCATACAATAAGACCTACCTCTTCCAGTTTTGTCTTGTAATTCCTTCTGACAGTTGAAACAGCCTTGAGAGCATCAGAGTCTGTTGACTGAAGACCATTGTTACTAGCCAACTCTGACAGTTGGCTCTCAGCCTTAACCTGTACATACATGCTGTCAGTTATTTTTCTAAGTACTTAGGACAGCTCCCAAAAAGGAAAGCATAAGAAAAAGATAGTCTTGAGCAAATATTAGATAACCCCTCAAACACCTGAAGAGAAACCAAACCTGTCTATAATCTAGCCTAATATCTTTGGCAGGATTTGTATATTCTTTTTGCAATGCTTTGGACCATTGCCCATGTCCACTTGCCTGTGGTTCCTGTATGTCATGAAAAATATAATGAAGGTGAGGTACACATAAGAGTAAGGATTCAGACACATAAAAGACAATCAATTTGGATAACAGCAAGCAAATCATTTATGAAGGTGAGGTACACCGTACACATGAGAGTAAAGATTCAGACACATAAAAAGACAATCAATTTGGATAACAGCAAGCAAATCATTTTACGGTACACAGCACCTCCTTCCTTAATTCATATGTTAAAAAAAATTGAGAAAAAAATTGATGGGGGGAAAAAAAATCCCCACATACGCACTCCAGAACAAGCAAAGAGAATGGCACGAACATAACCTTATTTTGTTTGAAGGCAGTTTGCATGTCCTTCGTTCTCCGGTTAGCATTGTAACAAGCATCATTCCCTTCATCATCAGTTAGGGTGGAGGAATAGCTCTGAGAGATATAAACAAAAGTTTTAGAATATAGTACTGCATAAGCAGGATACCTAGATGCATAAAGATGAATATAAATGTATCAGTACAACACTGAACCACAGACAGAAATGCTCCAGTCAAACAGCTTCTTCAAGATAGGGGTTTCAGGTAAGCAATTTATAATGAAGCTACTGTAGAAAGAGAGATAGGGTGCACTTACAGAGTACCCATCATACGACCTCAAAAAATCTTTCTGGCTAGAGGACCTCCGCAATCCTCTCTGCTGATTAGAAGATGTTGGCTGCATTACAGGCTTTTGTTTGCTCCACATGTTAAGATCTTTGGCTTTCACAAGACTCCTGTTTTTCTGAATGTGTTCATTCTGTAATTCCAAGAAATCAGAAGCCATGTCATACAAAAATCAAGAGAAAGTTACTCGCTAGAAGGTGCTAACACAATCAGCAAAACTTGTTTGCAATAGTACCAATTAAAAAAGAAAAGGAAAGAAAATTAGTTCAGTAAGATGTGTACTCAGGAAGTCTCTTAACATTACCTCTGATGATTTTATTATCTTTCTCAAGTCATATACAATATTTCCTCTGTTTCTCAATACTTGCAACAATGTGAATTTCATGCTTGACACATAGTTTTGATGATTAGTATCTTTAGTTATCTACAAATAAAATTAATAATAGCAAATAATTTTAAAGTATACACTAAAAGTTACCCAACAACAATTTACAAATTAACATTATTACTTTTGATATATCAATATATAAATATGGTCAGAGTTAATAAGTGGATGGTACAAATGATTAGCGTTGCATGCAATACCTCCTCTCTTTTTTTTTTTTTTGTTCGACACACTTAGGGTACTGTACATAGCTTAAAAGTTGAGTGGATGTAGGAAATAGTAGGTTTGTAAAAAGGTGGGTGGGTGTAAGATTGTAAGATGAAGTAGGAGGGAGGATATAAAAGATGGGTGGGACTAAGAAAAATTAAGATTGTCATCACTTGTTCATTGTGAATATTCTTTTTAGTTGATAATTACGAAATATTGAGCAGGTATTCCAATAGTAACAACCAATAAAGGTTTATTTTTATTACTGATAACCATAGAAACGACTGTCATCACTGGTTCTAGCAACATGAAACTTCTGAAGTCACATTATCCATATCAATAAACTCCTCAATTTGCCAGGTTAAAGGAATACAATCCTCTATGACCACTCACACGCAATAAAACATATGTCATTGCTAAATAAAATCAAACCCACATTCATTGGAAAATGAGAGTGTGATATTGAGCAAGTATTCCAATAGTAACAACCAATAAAGGTTTATTTTATTACTGATAACCATAGAAACGATTGTCATCACTGGTTCTAGCGGCATGAAACTTCTGAAGTCACATTATCCATATCAATAAACTCCTCAATTAGCCAGGTTAAAAAATACAATCCTCTATGACCACTCACACGCAATAAAACATATGTCATTGCTAAATAAAATCAAACCCACATTCATTGGAAAATGACGAGTGTGTTTGGATGAGATGTTTTGAAGAATAATGTACTCAAACGTTATTACTAATTCCATTCCTTTATATTGGTTACACTTTCTAATTTTGCCCATTCATTTTTTGCCAGATACACTCTTTTCTTTTTTTCCTATTTTGGCAAAATTGTCTTTACAAAAACACAACACTTTCCTTCTCCCATTTTTCTTACAAAAACCCCACTTACAACACTCTCTCCTACTTTTTCTTAAACATACTCCTCTTTTACACACTCTCCTACTCTACTTGCACATTATTTGTATCAACAAAAGCATACAAACATTTAGGAACATAGATAACCAAGAAAAAATGGTACTTAATAATCTATGTAACAACTGAATTTCCATATTGAATATAGACCATATGGTATTTGAAGCATCAAACTTATTTATCATCTTCTTTTGACCAAAGATTCATAGACCTTGACCATGTCCAATTTGTAAGTTAGACAATAATATATGGTGGTAGAGAAAATGTGTAGTTATGTCATGAAAGTTCAATGCCAATGTCAACTTGTCAAGTAACGCAAATCTATCTCAATTCTCAAGAGTGTGTTATTGCTAACAAATTCCATCAACAGTGTAGTAGTGGGCGTGGAGTGGTAAAATCAATATATTTGATCAGAAACAAAATGAGTACAATACTACTCAGTAGTCCACTTCCCGTAGAAACCATTTTTTTTAATGTTAAAACCATAAGTGACATGAACGTTTGTTTTGTTGTTGATCTATTATACTATCTTCTCTTTATATTATCACCATATTTTCAATTTCCATTTCGGTTTAAATGTTTGTTCTGTTGTTGATCTATTAATAATCCTCTTATTTACTTTAAAGTCCGCCTTAATTATAGAGTAAATTCCACAAATCTTATTATTTTGTAGGAAAACTTTTCTAAGGTCAACAGGGACGCTTGTAGGTGATTTGTGTTTATGAAGATGCAGAAGGGTGGTTAAATAAATTAATTAGTTTGAACACTTCTTTTCTCATATACAAGCATAACAGTTTTGAATACACACTCTATCTAATCTTCTGCCTCATAATAATAGTCCACTAATACCTCCATGTCATTGTATAGGGTTGAAAACTAATGAGGAATCTATGGCCCCGTTTGGTTTGACGTAAAACATTTTCAATGAAAGATTAGTTTTCACGGAAAACATATTTTGAAGGAAAACCTCAAATTACATTCAATTTTCCTTTGATTAGTTCCTTACAAGAAAAGTTATAGAAAAATTAAAGATAGGAGGTGAAGATGTGATGGTGGATGAGAGAAAACTAAAAAGAAGTTAAGGAAGAAGGAGGAAAATGTGACTTCCCTTGTTTTATAAACGAAAATGTTTTTCACCATTAATGATGCAATTTCCCACTCCGACCCTTCACAAAGCAAACAAAGGAATATAGGATAAAATGGAAAAATTGTTTTTACACCAAACCAAACGGGGCCTATGGTGAAAACCACGTATTTTTTTCTGGTTTTTTTTATTAATAGTTGCAATAATTAAACATAAACACTTATCTTCAGAACTTAAATATTAATATCTTTTCATATATATATATATATATATATATATATATATATATATATATATATATATATATATATATATATATATATAGGTTTGGCTTGAAATGTATTTTCAAAATATCAAATTTTTTTGTATCTTATTAACATCTTTACTTTTCTATTAAAGAAAACTATAAAAAGTTGATTTTTAAAATTATACAATGAGATCAACCCAACAATATTTTACGTAATATCTTATTTTCATAACTTAATAAAAAAATTATAGTCAAATTTAGTACTCTCTATGTTCGTTACATTTTGACTTTTATAATTGACTTATAAAAACTCCTAGTAAAAACACACACAAACATAAAACTTCAAAACCATATAATGTGGGGATTGTGTTAGATTGGCTTGATATGTATTTTCAAAATATCAAAATTTTATAATTTTCCATCATATTTAATTGATTGTATTCATGATTAAACATGTGCATTAGAGATTGTAACAATCAAAATGTAACATATAAAAAGGACAGAGGGGCACATAATACTCCGTAGTGTAAAAGTCCAATCCCTGTGATCATAAAGAACGAAGGAAAATTGAATTACATTGACATGAAATTTCTCAAAACATTACCCACAAACTCAACTCACAACTATTACCATTATTTATTACCGTCTACCAAATTGGCATATAATCTATGGCATCAAGACCATTAAAAAATAGCTTTACAAAACAGTGCATATATACACAAAACTGCAATCATACAAACAAAATCCATCATCAATGTCCAAAAGTTAATATACCCAACATAATGAGTACTTACTTTCTCTCAACATTGATTTATACTCCAATAGGAAAAAAAAAAAAAATACTACGTATATATTAATAATTTAATATCCAAGGTCCTATTTAATTAAACTAGCAATTTCAATTTCAATCCCCCAAACTGACCCACATCCATGTATCACATCAACTTTAAATTCCGCCAAAAATTCAAAACTTCCAACCAAATTAATCAATCAAAACCCCTAATTCTCGAAAATCACAACAAAATTAAAAATCCTTGATAAAATTTCATACCTCAGAATCGCTAATTTGATAATTCCGAACAACAGAAAGCGACCGCCTCCTTCTAGAAGCACTACCATCAAAATCGCCATTTCTCTCACCTAAATTCTTACTCCTCAGCTCACCAACCCTAGCCCCACGCCTAGAAACCGACCTTCCTCTCCGATGCGACGCCGTTTTATCATCTCTACTCGCAGAAGAAACCTCATAAGAAGTAGTTCGCCCTCTTTCACCAATATCACTCGACGAAAACATCTCAATCGCAAGATCATCGAGACTAATTTCAGGAACACCAGAACCTCGTACTGTATTTACAAATTTACCCCTACGACTCGCCGACGGTGGTTCCTCCGGCGAGACCTCCGCCGGAAGTCCGTGCGAAAAGCGGCTGACACTCCGTGAACGGCGGTGGTGCGACGACGATGTTGTGGAGTTCCGACTAGTACTGGAGTTGGAATTGGAGTCTCCTCCGATTGATGTTCGCCGAGTCGTCGACCTGAATGCTGCCGTCGCCATTGTTGATGGAGTAGAGAGAAACTGAGAGAGTTGAATTAGGGTTTAGGGATTGTGAGTGAAGAACATTTTTGAAGGAGAGAGAAAATTTTGAGCAAAAATGGCGTTGTGTTTGTTCACGGGAAGGAGCTGAATGGAGTTCTTCAAAGTAGTATAATGGCGGAGAAGACGAAATTTGGGGGATTTGAAATTGTGTCGTACTTTAATTTTTATACGTACTGAATATTTTATTTTTGGAGCGTTGTATTAATTGATTTGTTAATGTTGTTAATTTGAAATGGTAAGAATTTGATTTATTATTGTTATTTACAAGTTTACAACCAATACAACCATTTAGGACTGGCAAATTGGCAATAATTTTTGGTTCCCTTGATTCATTCACAATATATGATTTGAAATATTTTATGTATTTATGGAGTATGTTGTTGACCTTGTTTTTTATATTTTTTTTAGAAAATAAAAAAAAAAATAGAAGTGTTTTAGACTTTTTAGGTGTAACTATGTAAGTGTTGGACGGTTAGGTGGTGGTTGATGGTTGATGTTTTTTTTTTTTTTTTTTCTAAGTAAGCATGAGCAATAAATGGAGGTTTGTCAGGTAACAAGCATGTCATGTCATCCTCATGATCGTGTTCAAAGTTAAATGGATTATATGGTTAAATGGGTTATAAACTCATGTTTACCATGCTCAGTTTGTGTTATGATGTTTGATTTTTGATTTTTTTTTCTTAAGTGAGTTATCTCGTGTATTTAAATGTGTCGTGTGATAAATAACTTATTTGTCTCCTCTTTTCTATCCCCTCTATCCTCTCTTAAAAAAAAAACTCTAGCCTTCTTTGTTGATTTTGAAAGGGCTTCCATTGGTTTTTATCGGTAGAAAGCCCCAACCTTTGTTATTTAAGCCCTTTTTGTTTGTTATTTTAGGTTTATAATAATGATTTCTCCGTCGAAAGAAAAGGGTTTTCGACCTCCTTCAAAAACCAAGGTTTTTTCGATCTCCTTCGAAAGACAAGGTTTTTGACCCTTCGTTGAAAGCCATGGTTTTTTTCCTCTTTTCGAGAGGGGATTTCTTTAGCTTTTAATCCGGGATAGTAGATCTAATGGCTTGCCGTGAAAGTGTTTCATTGGTCAAAATTATGCGGGGTCGCAAAGGTTATCAATTTTCAAATATGATCAAATGAATCCGATGGAAATCATCTTCACAACTACAAGGGATCATTAGATTGTCTCTCCAACAAGGCTATATTTTCCAGCGATATAAGCGGGAGATGTTCTACATTGCAAGATCTGCTCGACGATCATAGTTTTTATGATGAAAATTATTAGATTCAAATTACGTATTTGTTGAATTCGTTTATTGTTGTAGATGTCGTATGACTTCTAATAATAAATTAATTTTAATATTAAAAAAAATTAAATGAGTCATGTAGTATTCATCCATTCATTTAAACGTGTCTTAAACCCTTGAAACTAATTCGATTTTTCGAGCCCAATCAGTAATGTGTCAGCTTTTTTCATCTTAAATCAAACATTGGGTTGGATAAAATAAAATTTATGTCCAACCCCGCAAAATTGAGATGGGCTTTTCAAGCCGAAGCAAACTTTAACGAGCCGATTTGCAATCGGAAATCTATTGACAACCTATATGTAACACCTTAGAAATTCCTTTCCTTTAAAATACCTGCATTGCCCTTTTTAAAATACGAAATAGAAAATTCTAAGACATTACCGCCACCATGATAACGGCTAAGGCAATTGTCAAAGACACACGACCGAAGACTCATTTAAAAATCCTTTTTAAAACATAAAACTAATTTCAAAGTCAACCAAATAAAAGTAAATTCAAACCAAAGTCAAACGAAATCAACCTACTACTTGGAACCATTGTAGGCCCTTTCAAAAATCCAAACCAAAATAATTAACAATCTTTGCGTTAGTCCCACAAGCAAATAAATAATATTCAAATCAAATAAGAACATCATATCCTCATAGAAACTAAACAAGATTCTCTCTTCACTCATGCCCTAACATGAATATGCCGCATCACCTGAAAAGCTTCTCTTTACTTTGTCCCCACTACTCGCCATTAGAAATGGGTAGTCGTAGGGCCAAGATAAAGACAAGGCCAACAAACATACAAACACACAATCAGCAATGCTAAGTACATAAGCATAAACAAAACACACTAACATGCATACAACCTAGCATCACACTATATACCTTCTTGCACCTATTTTTTAAGCACACAACATACAACTCAACAATAGACAAATTTAATTGCTTATTTCTTTGATTACGCATCAAACGAGTTTCCCCACTAACCTGCCCCAATAAAAGGGTACTAACACGGGATCTAACTGTGCTAATATAAAAAAGAATCACTCGTAAGTGGCGGAATTCTTGCGCATAATAAAAAGGAAATACAGCGTTCGGTACTTCCAGTAGAAGTTATGGTCAAATATAAAGCTGCATAACTCCTCCCTCCCCATATGTTCATACTCAAGGTATATACGTTCCAAGAGTTTTAGTGCATAACCTTTTTCACTTTACGTTAGTTACATTTTAGACTTGGTGATGACTCTTAATTCACAAAACAATCAATGAATACAATTCATTCAAGTAATCAAACATTTCAATTCAATTCTTGAATAACTAGTGATTACAAATAATTAGTTGTTGAACTCTTTTTAAACTACCTCGGTGTTAAAACACCTTAAGCCCATAATGCACCACAAATCTTATCCCTCAGTGTTCGTTTAAAACACCTTAAGTGCACTTAGGCGCTAAAATATAATTTAATCCTTGTATTCAAAGACACTTAAATAGCTCAATCCTCATGCGTAAAGCATCAATAAAAATTATATGAACCATAATAAAATTCCCTTTTTAAATTCCAAACCAAATTAAACATTTAGTTTAATTAAACAAGCCTTCAATCATGCCAAAAATTATATGAACCATAATAAAATTCCCTTTTTAAATTCCAAACCAAATTAAACATTTAGTTTAATTAAACAAGCCTTCAATCATGCCAACAATAAAAGTGTTGTTCAAGAACAATATTCCATGATCACCAATTCCAACAAATAAATTATTTCAACCAATCATACTTCATAAATAATTCACCAAAACCATTCCAATTCAAAAATCCAATTCAATTCACCTATTACAACCAATTCCTAACATGATACTAATTTGGAATCAACTAAAATAAATCCTAACATGGTTCTACAAGCTTAATAGATATCGCATACGCGTACGTACCTCGTATATGAACTCAAAATCGCCACGACTATAGAAAATTGTTCACTTGGAAGTCTCCTATAACCCACAATTACCAAGAGACATTAATAACTATTCTTAATAAACTTCCATCAATATAAACACACTTTGAAACAATTTTAAACCTTCCAAAACATGCTGAAAATTATTTAGAACCACTTAATTTTATTCCCCACTTAATGGGTAATTAAAATCCTTTAAAAAAAACCTTAATCTAGCCTTTATAAAAACCCTTAAACTTGCTGTAATTTAATTTAAAAATATCAATTTCAATAGTATTAATCAACTACAATTAATTTCTTCCAATAAACATCAATTTAGAAAGCTAGGGTTTAATCAATTTTGGGCTTTTTCATATAAAACAAAATTTAAAAATTATATTTATTAAACATCATTAAAAACATTATAGTTTCATCACACAATACCCAAAATCAATAATTAATCAAAGCTTAATTGAATTTATAAACAAGAATCATATATATATATATATATATATATACACACACAAACACAAGCAAGGGGGAGGGGCTGCTACCGCCCTTCCCGTCGGCTGCTGCTGTTGTCGGTTGACATTGGTGGCGGTGGTCGGCCGGTGGGTGGAAGTGGGTGGTGGTGGAGGTTGCCGACCACCGTGAGGGATACGTGTGTGTGGGTGGTGTGTGTGAAGAAATGGAGAGGGGAAATTAAGGAGGAGAAGTAAGAGGAGAGTGAGTTTATCTTTTTGGTATTATCACCTTGGGCAAAATCTGATTTTTGCTTTTGGGTGAATATTTATACTTTTCTCTAAAACCCTCTTTCTACTTGATTTCCCTTTTTACCTTAATGATTCTCACTTCCACTTAAAATAGTCATTTAACTTTATTTTTAAATCCTTTGACTTTAAAATTCTTTACAATTAAATATGCCCCAAATTTTATTAATATGGAAATAAAATGTTTTCATAACTATTTTAATAATTAATTTAAATTGATGGGTTTTTATTTAAATAAACCTTTTAAAATAATAAAATACCATAAATAATTCATTTCAAATTATAAAAATACGTTATAAAATAATACTTTCATTTATAAACTGTATAAAAATACGGGGTATTACATTATATAGTTTTCAAGTTGAGTAAGCCATTAATGATTAGCTCTAAAACTAAGAATTACTCTGTCTAATTTATTAAGTGTTGCACTTTGATTAACTCACATTTTAAGACATGTGTTTCGAGGTTTTTTTGGAATCCCTCGGGATACAAGTTTTGAATATATCCGAACGGTTGCGGACACTTGCAAAACAACGAATGTTCCGTTTGACAGAATATTCGTCTCCAACGATTAAGTTAGTGATTGGAAAACGAAGTAAATTTAGAGAGAGAAAGTAGAGAGAAGTTGGAGCAATTTAATACTCTTGAATGATATGTCTCCATTCACGCCTCCCATCATAAATGATTGGGGTATTTATAGGGGTAGGAGTGTGTGCCATCTAAGGTTTGGTGACCTAGAATGGTGTGCTCTGATTGGCAGCGCAATCAGGTAAGGACAAGTGTCCTTTGGGAGGCGTCGTTTTAGCGCCTTTCTCGGGATTTGGGCCTCCTGATGCAAGGAGGTCTTTCTCTCATTCAGGTGCTCTCTTGTTTCCCACGTGCCATCTTCATATTAGGACATGTGTCGCCCTGTTATTGGGCCACGTGTCTATATAGGATTGGACCACGTGTTAGGGGTATTTTTACCCTAAACATTTGCCCCTCAGAAGGGGTGGCTCGTACCATACTGGATGCCTCCTCTAATCTTCACTCATCCAGGATTGTTCGAGTATCGGGTTGATGGAGCATTGTTATTAAAAAGAGGCAGACTGTACCGTCCGTCTTAACATGGGATTATCCCTTTAGGCTAACTTCCTTAGTCGGTCCGCCTGATTTCACTGGTGGACTTAAATCTTGAAATCAGTCGGACGGATGGTGCCGCCTGGTATCAGGTACACTTGTTCCGTATTTCTCAGGCCAGTGGCTTGAAGTTGCTGACCTGGCCGTCTATTTTGACGCGCCGTTTGGGCAACTTTACGTCTTCCCCGTCTATATTGATGGAAAGGTTAAATTAACCGTTTGGGCTTCTAGGTTAATTTTTTCAAAAAATAACCGTTTGAGGTTATGGGCGGGAAAAGTGGTTTTACCATTTTGCCCTCATAAATTTGTCTATAAATAGGACTTGTTTGACTTCGTTTTTTCACTTTGGAACTTTGCGAATTTTAGAGAGATAAAGTGTTTTCCCCTCACATCATCAAGAGCTCCGCCGTGTATTAGAATTTTCAGTTCGAGTTTGTTTAGTTTTCTGGTCAACTTTCAAGATCTTCAAAGTCTTCCAAATTTTTCTACTCGTATAGAGGTAATTGTTTACTTTTCTTTACTTCTTCCTTTTTTCATACTTGTTTTATTTTTTAAACACAAACTGGCACAATACTCGGCTTCGTTTGTTTCTCCTCATGAGGTCGGTCGTTCTCTTGGGAGTGAGGAGTCTAGAGTGGACGGAGACGACTCCTCCTCTCTTTGGAGTGGGTCCATTTGTAGTGCGTACCAACTCACCCCCACCTATTCTTCTCCGACCCTGCAGTCGAGCATGGCGTGTACAACGCAAACGTATGAGCCGTGGTGCCCTCAGAAATCCGGACGGCAGTATGGTGGATCCTTTAGTCC